CCCCCCCCCCCCCCCCCCATGCAGTAGAGCCTTGGTTCACTGATAATACATATTTACTATAACACAGAAATATCCTGATTTAAAGCATATGAAACATCAAATATTCTTTCATTGACTTCAGGTTTCTCTGCTTCTTGTCCAGAATACTTGTCAGAAGCAGGGAGTAAGCCACTGGGAAAAATTAGTGGATTTTTTTTGCCACCCCTCTTTTTTTTGTGTGTGTGTGTATTATCTTAAATGCTGCTTATGACCTTTTTATGATACTTGCAACATTTTTTTTTTTTTTTGAAAGATAAAATTGAGGAGAATGTTCTTTAAAATTTGTTTCTTAGAGTGAAGGGACTTGCCAGCAATGTGTTTCATATAGGCTATTGAGATGTTACTCTGTTTTTGTTTAAGGTCCTTCCTCCTACAGTATATATGAGAGTGACTGACAATATTCCTCAGATAATTTCCTTTATAAAAACAATAATTGCTAGTGGACAAGCTTACGCAACCTCACAAGGTAAGACTTATAGCAAGGCAACTCCTTGTTCAGCACATGTACAGGAAATCAGCGCTCTTAGTAATCCTGTTTTGGGATCAGATGAGATACCCTGTGCCAGGCTTGCCTTCTGTTGATTAACAGACAGGGTGTGAGCAACTCGTTTGTGCTGACATGAGTGGGCAGAACAACTATTACTCAATTTCTAAGTTAAATGTAGCTCATTACTTAATATAATTGTTTACTGTAATGAACTGCTATCTAAGCTCCTGTGGGGAAGTCCTGGCCTGGCTTCTACAAGAGAGTTGGGGGAACCTCTTAACTCTAAACAGGAGGTGCTATAAAAGATGCGCCTGCAAAGCACAATGTGTGGATCTTTTTTTAGCAGGGCTGGTGGTTGTAGAAGCATTCGAGTGCATTGTAACTGGAGTAGCAATAGCCCACGTTTCAGTCAGAGAGGGGATTGCTGGTTGTGTATGGGCAGGGAAGAACCTGGGGAGATCTTCAGAATACAAAGTTATCCTGTGTGTAGATTGAGCACATGCAGTGAGGTTACTGGAAAGCTGGTAACGTGGAAATGTGTGCTACTACTTTTGCAGCATTTCTGAATTTATAAATCGGAATTTCAAGTGGGAGTTGAAGGGCGTTTTGTTTTGCTTTCAGGGAAATGTTCCCTCTTCATCATGAATGTACCCCATCTTTTGCTATAAAACTAAACATTTCTTTTCTATTAGGCAATGTTTATTTTGATGTTAAGTCTTGGGGAAAAAGATATGGAGTATTAACTACTATTTATCCTGATACCCAAGATGAAGCAGGTATGTTCATGGCACCAGCTTGTTTGTATTAATGCATTGTCTGAACTCGTGATGTATCTATGCATAAACCTTCATTCAACAGCCTGAAACAGTTTTCTAACCTGTTGTGTATAACCAGCTTTTTGGTTAATTAAGACCTCCCTTTTTTTTTTTTTTTTTTAATTATTTATTGAGGCACTCGCTATTGCCAGTGCAAGAGGAAACTTGGTGGTCTCTTTTCATACTTGGTTCCCTTTATACCTTTGTTCTGGTACCCTAGAACAATTAAGATTCTTAATTTTATTTAAATACTTGGGAGTGGTACATAACAAACTTCACAGTAAGGTGGTGGTCTCAGCCATTGCACTAGCCAGCAGTGAGATAGTCAAGGGTAAATGCAGGGAAACGTCATCTACTATGTTATTGTTTGGGCAGTTGCACCCTTCTGATGCATGCTAACCAGATGAATTTGGTTCTTTCATTACTTACCACTGGACTACTGCAAAGCAGCCTATTTGTGTGAGGGTGAGTAATCTCTTGATAGGCTGTGCTAGAGCATGCCTGTACCCTTGGCTGGGTGTGTTTTGCTGTGGTTGTCTGGCTGCTCAGCAGGATTGCTGAGCTGCTCTGTGGTTTCCGTAAATGGGGTCTGATCAGGTCTCCACATTGGAGAATTTGATGCAGGTCTCCTGCACCCTTTGCACGCTGAAGTTCAGTGTTTCTGCATTGAAAAAAAAAAACCACTGTTTGCAATTACTGAAAATGCCTGCCAGGCTGATGCTCAGGTGAATTGCAGCCAGAAACTTCTCACAGCTCTACTCTGGAGTTGTTTCAGCATTACAACTCACAGAGGGAATGTGTTTTGCCGACAGTTATTTAGAAGCAGTTACTGACTGCAAAGGCAGCCAACAGCCTCCTGGGCTGCATTAGGAAGAGCATTGCCAGGAGGTCAAAGGAGGTGATCCTTCCTCTCTGTTCAGTTTGAGGTGAGACTTGCCTGGAGTGCTGGGTCCCGTGCTGGGCTCCCCAGTACAAGAGAGACACGGGCATACTGGAGAGAGCCCAGCAAAGGGCCACAAATACAGTGAAGGGACAGGAGCATCTTTCCTATGAGGAAAGGCTGAGAGAGCTGGGACTGCTCAGCCTGGAGAAGAGAAGGTTCAGGGCATCTTACCCGTGTGTACAAATACCTGATGGGGGTAGTAAAGAAGATGGAGCCAGGCTCTTCTCAGTGGTGGTTGGTGACAGGACAGGAGGCAATGGGCACAACCTGAAACACGGGAAATTCCATTTAAACCTAACAAAAAACTTTTTTACTCTCAGGATGGTTGCCCAGAAAGGCTGTGGAGTCTCTATCCTTGGAGATATTCAAAAGCCGACTGGACACCATCCTGGGCAGCCTGCTGTAGCTGAGCCTGCTCTGAGCAGGGGGTTGGGCTAGATGATCTCCAGAGGTGCCTTCCAGCCTCAACCGTGACTGATTCTGTGTTTACCCTGTTTCCCCTCAAGTCACTTTAAACTTACTGTTATTTCTAAAGATTTTAGCTGTTGTTTTGCTTATAACTGAGAAGGTGAAGAGTGCTTTTTTGTAGCAGTATACTCAAAAAAAAAAAAAAAAAAAAAAAAAGGGGGGGGCGGAGCAAAAGAGGCATGGGGTCAACAGGTACTGGTCAGCTAGAGCTTGGCAAACTAGTGAAAGAGCCAAGATGAAGATTCAGTGGATAAAACTAGGGTTATATTTCTGTCCCCTTATTTCTTACCAATTTTGAATGATGAAGCAGGTGTAATGGATTTTTGTAATGTGCTTCCCTTAATATTGCATGACGTTCTGAATAAAAACTGACTCTGTATAATATCAATAAAGTACAAGTGGAATGGCTCAAGAAAAATGACCATCTAATAGATCTCCAAAAATAGCTGTGAATGATCATTAAAATGTGTTGATACTGGAAAGCTCCAAGGATTGGTTCACACCCAGTGATAACTGTGGTTTTGTTAGCAGTCTGGAAGTAGAGGAAAGAAGTAAATCTAGCATCAACTGCTGATAAAACAGATGAGCAGTGTTAAATAAGGTAACTTAAAACAGTGCGAGTTGCTTGCCAAGCTGGATCCCTTCAAGCCAAATAGGTATATTGTTCTGCATCAGTCAAATACGAGGTCATGTATTTGTCAGCAAAAAAAATAGGGAGTCCAGAACCCCGTTCTGTAGCTCCTGCCGGGGAGCGGTGTGTATCCGACCGGGGGTTAGGAGGCAGCAGAGACGAACTGTCCTCTGCGGTACTGTGGCAAAAAGGACTACATCCTTGGCTGTGTAGTGAAGGAAGCAACAAACGTATCCGGGGAGGAGACCTTTGTAGAGAAGCCATTGGTGAAAATGGTACTGGAAGTTTGCTACTGTCCAAGAATAGTTTTGATTCTTATCTCCGTGCTCTTCTTGGTTTTATGGAAACTGAACCAGAAACTGTTTGTGTCCCAGAGAAAAAATTGTGGGGTTTTTTGTTTGTTTGTGGGTTTTGATTTGGCTTGTTCGTTACCTTTTCTGCTGCAGTGCAATCTGTTTGTCCTGGGAAACTGACTGATAAGTAACTTAAATGAATGATGTAAAACCAGAGAAGGCCAAAAGGACTAAAAGGGTAGGATGTATTAAAGAATCTTGAATCCATCTTTTTAGCCCGCAGAAATCTAATTCAACATACTATTTTTTGTCAAACGCTTGATTGGAAAACTGGAAGCCCTGTATAAGGGGGAAGGGAGGAAAGTTTTTTTTTTTTTTTTTTTTTTTTTTTTTTAAATTCATTTGTTCTTTTTTTTTTTTTTTTTTCTTTGAGACATATCCCATTAACAAATCACTTATTCTTGGCAGTTGATACTGATAAACGACATAGTAGAGATTTTGCCCTGTGGAAAGCTGCCAGACCTCAAGAGTTATCTTGGACTTCTCCCTGGGGAAAAGGAAGACCTGGATGGCACATTGAGTGTTCCACAATATCAAGGTCAGATTTCTTGGATTTTAAATCCAGTGCTGGTTTTTGTTTTCAGTCACAGTACGATGGTAGCAGCAGTATTGAAAGTGTTTTTTCTGATCAGTAGAAAGCACCAGTTTTAATGTGAATACTTTGTGCAATTTGGGATGTCACGTGTGGCCCAAAGAAACTTTGCTCCACCCTAATGGTGTAGCTGCCTTGCTATGTTTTGGCACCTTCTCTTGAGACAGACTTGGGTATTTAAAATATGCCGTGCAGGATCACACAGTTGATTAGCAAGTCTTTTAACATGAACTGAGTAACCGAAGTTTTAGTGAAAGTTAAGGTACCTCTTTCATTTGCCTCCCTTCCACTTCTTGCAGTCTCCATTGGACCCAGTTCAGCATGTAGTGCTGTGTCAGAAGGACAGGGTATGGGATTTCATCCTGGCTCCAGCAAGCGTATGAGATCTTGCTGGCCTTATATTAACAGCAGTTGTGGATGTTCATGCTAATCATCTAAGCATTATTCAGCTTTCTTTAAAAGTCAGCCACGGTATTAAATATTCCGATTTCTCTGTGTCAGTATATTCTGTGGCCACGATGTGAATTTTGCATAGTAGCATTTTGCTTGTAGTTGTTTTAAATTAATTTGCTCTTAATTTGGAGTTTTATTTTTCTCCACAGGATGGTAGTACTTTGTCCTGCACTGTATTAACTTATGACCTATTAATTTGTATTTTAAAAAAAGAGACTTTAAATCTTATCTCCTGGAAGATTGATAGTGGTACTTATTTTTGCATTAGTCTCAGATCTTTTTTGGAAGCTAATAACAAATTATTTAGATCTGGCCCTGTTTAACTTAAGTTTTCAACCCAAGCTGAAAGTAGATGGAACAGGTGCTTTAGGTTTCTCTTTCCTATGCTTTGCTGGTGCACCTCGGGTTGTTAGTCATTACTACCTGATTGTGAAAAGCATTTATAAGGGTGATTTTCTGTCTGTAAATAGTTTCAGCACTGTGAAACAGTTCTTAAAGCAACTGGAGTGCACAAAAACATGCTGTATTTGAAGTGCAACCTGTGACAGAAGTGCACAGGTAAGAAATGCCAATTACAAAATGGCCTATCCGCTAATGCGGTGCTGTCTGTAGTCTGCATTTCTTTCTGTAAAAACTTATTTTACTGCGGCTGGATGAGGCTCCTGCTATGTAAATAAGAGTTGACCTATGCAGAGCATAAGTGTAGTAATCTTGGACTGTGGAAAACAGAGAGCTTATTTTGGTAAGTTACCTGAAACGTTTTGCTGTCCCAGTCAGCTGTTTGAGGCCCATTTTAAGCAATACCTACTTACCTGTCTGTTTTGCCAAAGATCTCAAAGCACTTTAAGTAAGCTAGGTGAACTGATTTTGAAAAGTCTTTGAAGTGTGCCTGGGGAAGGTGAATGAGAAGGGCCTTGGTCTCTAATGCAGCCCTGGAGGAGGGAACCACCTGCTCTGACTTAGGTCTGATTTCCTCTCTGGAGTTTCCCTTGTGGTGAGATGAGCTGCTCCTCCTGCCCCTGAGCGTTTTGCAGGTCTGTCTCTCCCCAGCTCTTAATGGTTTTGTTGGAGGCAATGGCAAGCGGCCAGCGCTCCTCTGTAGATGGCACAAGGGAAGGCATGAGCCAGGGCCGTTCCTGTGACGGTCTGTGCTTAAGCTGGTTTTGGAGCAGACAGGAGGAAGCAGAGGGGGCACAAGCTTGGGAAATGACAACAGCTGGTCTTTCTTCCCTCCTCTCTTCCCATTTTCTTTTCTTCCTGTGCCCCAACTGCTTCTGCAGAGCCATTGTGAGCCAGGGTGTTAACAGGGTGTTTTGTCCCAAAAAGAGACAAAAGTATTAATATCTAGCCAGCTACCAGGAGCGACTTGTTAATGTGACATATGGAAAGACTGTGTGTGTCTGTGTGCACGTGTGTGTGGGGCTTGCCTTTTATTTTCTACTTGTGTAGACCTTGCATCTTCCCCAGCTTGAGTGTCCCCGGTTTCTGGGAAGTTCACGTTGATTTTACCTCCTTGTGAGTAGGTAAGTGTTGTCTTTGTTTAACAGATGGGCAAAATGAAGTTATTAACTTGCCCAGCGTGACCTAGCAGGACACTTGCTGGAGCAGTGGACAGAGTGTAGCAGCCTTGACTCCTGGTGTTTAAGCAGAAAGTGTCTAGGTCTGTCCTGTTGCACACGAATACCTTACTTCCAGCCACCAGTACCTGCAGAGGGGCCTGTGCCATGCAAGCCTGTGGGTGACCCGCACAGATGCAGCCGTGTTGTTGGGATGAGAGGAATGGCCTTGGGAGATCAGAGGCACTGACGCTTTCTTTTGACATTATAACAATATAGGACTAAGCATTTTCTATCATGACTGCGTACAGTATTGCCTGAATTCTTACAGAAAAGGTACAAGATAAAGAATAGTAATACCAGATTTACAGAAACGTTCATCACTTCGAACTGGTTAGGTTTGCAGATGAAGGCAGCTGTCTGATACTGAAACTGTAGCAGAACAAGGGAAGGAGATGTCCTGCTTGCTGTTCTTTAATGTTAACTTTAAAAGTTAGAAAAATAATTGCTCCTACTAAGAGTTAATTGTGGGCAGATATGGGTCCTGTCCATACAAGTTCTGCTGCAGTTTTGGTATCTAAGATCTGTGTAAAGTCTTGTTTTAGAACTGCAATCATTAAATTGTACACTTAAATTTATAATCTTTCATCTTACTCTTTTTTGCGTTTCTTTTACAAAAAGCTTTTGTAGTGTTCTACTTACCGATCAGGAAAATATTGTTACAGTGCAGTGTTTGGAAAGCAGCTGGACATCCATACCGGTGGAATAGATCTTGCATTTCCTCATCATGAAAATGAAATCGCACAGTGTGAGGTGTATCATCAGTGTGAGCAATGGGGGAATTACTTTCTGCATTCTGGTAAGTAAAATATTAATCACCTGAGAGGCCTGTACAAATATAAGGGTTTGGGTTTTTATGTTTGGCATTTGTATGGTAGGAAAACAGATGCTCTACTACAGTGACCAAGTTCCTGTCCTCACTAAGTGAAGAAACATAAATGAGAGTGAATCTTGAAACTGTAGAATGAATGCCTTTATTAATAAAGCAGTTACAGTGAAGTATTCCTGAATTTCATCTGGGGTAATCTCCAAATAATAACAGCATATGCATTGCCCATGTACAGTGTTTACTTCTAATTAAAAATGTGGAAGGAAGAGTCTTTCCTGTAGAATCTCATTCCCTTTCATTTGAGTTTCCTCAAAATTTGAGGGTACTCTTTGATAGGCTTTCTTTTTTAATTGTATTTTGGCTGTAACAGTCCTGCAGGACTGTTTTGTAACAGGACTGTTACAAGTCCCGTCCTGCAGGAAGAGGGTGAAAATAGTTGATCTTTTCTATATGTGTTTACGTAGTCCTCCTAAAACCAGAAATTTCTGCTGTCTTAGAACCAGAACCCGCAGTATCTGAAGGCAGGGAGTGGAGGTGGCAGGTAGCTGATGGTAATGTTTTAAAAGCATTGAGAATAGAATAAACCAGTCTTGTTCTCCAACATCTCTCAGCACCAGTTGCTCGTGGGCTTAAAAAAAAGTTTTCAGTAGCATGCAGAATCAAATAGCCTCTGTTTGTAAATAGGGTGGAAGGCTTTTAATCGTGATAAGAAAAGACATCTGTACTACTGGAAGATAAGAATGGAGAGAATGCTAAGATACATGAACTGATGAACCAACAAAGCTCACAAAGTTGTGATCCTGCAGAGGAATGTCTGAGCTGGGATGTTTTGTATGGTTTGAAATGTGGGGGAAGCCTTGCAGGCAGACGCTGTGCTGCAGCAGCCAACCACCGGACGTTCCGTGTGCTTAATTCACATACCTGTAACTTTTTTAATTCTCCTGGGAAGCCTTTTTTATCCACCAGTAGCATTAAGCCTAGCGATGGGTATGAGAAACAAGATTCATGCTGAAGACCAAGTGAGTCAGATGCTTTGGTCTACTCCGGTCAGGCACGGTCAATGAGATTGCTGGTAGGTAGAGACAAGGAGGTCTGCGACATCTGTGGACTATGTAAAGACCAAGTCGCTCACCCCTCGGCTCTGTAGAAAAGTGGAGACATTGAGTCTCGTCACTATGGTCCCTTAACCCTCTCTAGTGCTCTGACCAGCTTCAGTGTCTCTCTGCTTTCCTATGGAGCGTGAGTGACTTGGTATTGGTGTAGCCCATAGATGTCACAGACCTTATCTCTTCCCCCAGAAGTGACCTCGCTGGCTATGCCTGACTAAACTGTACCAAAGTGTCTTTTACTCGCTTGGTCTTCAGCACATGATACTGCCTGGCATTATGTAGAACTGTTCCTTGCTGCCTTTGCATGATAGTGCTTCAGCGGTTTGTGCTGTACAGTGCTTTGAACTACATCGTTGTCTGATGGTACTAGCGCTGTTCCTGTTGATGGGAATCTTGAAATTTGTTCTTCCTATTGCAGTCCTGGTGGTTCTGGATGGTCTCCAAAGAACTGAAGTCAATAGAAGGTCAGGTTCAAATCTGCAGTCTCTCTTCTTGCTGAACGGTATTTTGTGCAAGATGTCTCCTCTCTGAGAGAGAGATGCAGAGTTAAGCCTGTGCTAAGCTCTGGGAATTACTTGGCCTTTCTTTTTTATATATATTTGTACTGTACGGGATGAATATTGAATTCTAGTTTCAGTTCCCGGTGTAGAGCCTGTTATAAATCAATAGCAATTGTCCAGAGGCTGGTGCATCCTCCAGGGTGTGCTTTGCTCCTAAAGTGCTGGGGAATTCTCTGTGCTTCCTCTGAGGTGCACTGGTTACTGCCAGGTGGAGCCTTCTGTAGAAAACCAGTGAACATGACTTTTCAAGCTTGGAATTGAAACTACAGGGGAAATATTCTTTGAAACTAACTAACTAAAGAGGAGTTATTTTTTCTTTAAAAAAAAAAAAGGCGGGGGGGGAAGAACTTAATTCCAAGGGTAATTTGTACACTGAGGTTCTCTAGGAGCTGACAGATTACATTCATTAAGTCAGAAAATTTTGCTGGAGGATGATAGTGTGAATTATTTAGGGCAAATGAATCAGCTTCAGAAACGTTTTAGTCTGGTAACAGACTTCAGAATTTTAGCAGGCTCAGAACTGGAGGAGCAATCCCCATTAGAAGAAGAAAATCCCTGCACTGGGGATAAATCTTCTTATAAGGACTTTATTTTTAGACTACTTGTACTCTGGGAAGAGCGCCAAGCCAAAGTTATGAAAATCCTTGTATTTTGTGATTCTTTAACGAAATCATTCTAAGTGCTGAAACTCTTGAAGAGGAATATTATTTCACATTCAGTTTTACCTGTACCTTATTAGGAAAACACAATCAAACTATTTTAAGCTTGGCTGCCTAAAGCTAAGTAAGTCAATATTTAGGCACCTTTGCAAAAGGAAAAAAATAATAATCGTACCTAGGCTCTTCCCCTTCTCCCGGGAGAAGTTTGTGGGTTTCACTTGAGTCGCAAGAGCTGCAGGTGTCCAGTGCTTCTGACAGCCTGAATGTTCTTATTGAGGGCCCCGAGTTTAACCACGCAGCGGTGAAAACGGCCTCACCTGCTAGCCGTCAGGACAAATATGATGAAAAAGAGTTTGGTTTGATCGTAGATTTCTGCTGTAGCTGGTTCTGTATCCATAGATTTCTTGATTCTTTCCTACTCTCCATAGAGTGTGTTGTACAAACTTCAATTTCCAGGTGGTCGGGGTAGGACCGGAGGTAGCCTTCTTACGGAGAATCCCTGCTGCATTGAATCATTGTCAGAAATAGCTAAGAAGTGAAACCAGATGCTTTTCATGTCCATTTACCAGGCCTGAGCATGTTGCTTTTGTATCCAGACGAGCATAATCGGGATTTTATCCGCTTGTGGAAGAGAGGGGGTTCCAGGCAAGGCTGCAAAAGCAGCGCTGTGCGGAGAGTAGCACAAAATTCAGACAGCTGCTTGGGCTGCTGAGCAAGAAAAGCCACCTCTGCCACCACCTGTAAAAGCAGAAGCATGATCATATGTTGTCCTTGCGGAGCACTCTGAGGCATTGGACTGCCAAATCTGAAAGAATGCGGAGCGCTAATGTGGTATTACAGAGTAAGAAAAGTTTGTGCTTAAAAATCTGCCTCTAAGTACAATTAAGTGCTGGGTTCTGCAGGTCACGAAAGGCCTGAAAATCGCGTGTTAGTTGTGGGTGCTTGGTAACTTACAGGATTACTCTTTTATTAGGAGAAGCCAATTAAGGCTTTTAACAACATTTCTGAAATGACGCTGAGTAGTCTTTTGTTGGCTAAGTGTTCAGCATCTCTCTGGTGCTGTGAATAATTGATGTTTTCCATCAGCGGTGGTGCTGTGGCTAGCACGGACGAGGCCTGGGAGTGTACAGCCTGAGGTTTCCAGTCTCCTGTCTTGCTTCAACAGAACTTTCAGTCCTGAAGCGGAGCTCTACGTACTCTCCTAAACGCAATGGAGATGATGGTTACTGCCTTTTTCATGTACCACAGCCCTGCAAACCGACGGTCCATGCAGCTATTGAAAGCTCTAGCAATGCTCAGAGATTGCATTTTAAAATAAGCTAATTCAAATTAGACATCATAGCTACATCCCTCCCTCCTTCCCCCTTCTTTTTCTTAGTCTCCCAAAGTCTGGAGAAATAGGGAATGTGTAGAAAATTCATTTTACACATAAGGTATTTTGAACCAGCACAATACGCTATTTTTTTTTAATCCAAAAGTTTAACAGCCACTAGCAATTAATAAGTACAGAAAATTGTTTGGGATATTGTAATGCGAGATTGCTGGAAGATCTTTAAAGGTCTTAAAATATTTCTGGAAAGTCAAGAGTAACCGGTAAGGTACTTTTTCTGTGAAGATTGAAAAATATTTCCTTGCTTGCTTGTTTTTATCAGTTTATTATCACTTCTGAGCAGGGAGACTTCTTGGTTTTTTCCTTATTAATGTCTCTGCTCATGGTGGTGGTGTTTTAGTTTTGGCTTTTTTTTAAAAAAACACTTTCTTTTCCTGTGTTTTAAAATTCACCCAGCCAAAGTTGAGGATGGAGAGGTGTGCAGGGCTGTAGGCAAAGCTATTGAAAAATACGTTACATGTTGCATTGAAATGGTTGGTGCATACCCATCACAGCATATGCTGCCTCCAGCGTTTCCAGTGTCTCAGCGCAGTCTTTCTCAGTCACTCCCCATTCAAAAGCACGCTTATTTATCCTGATTAATTTTTTTTTGTTCTAGGGCACTTGCATGTTAAAGGAAGTCAAGAAAAAATGTCCAAGTCATTAAAAAACTACGTAACAATTAAGGTAATCTATTTCTGTGAATTGAAGCAATATATTTTTGTAGTATGTGTATATTAATCACAGCCCTCTTTTGAGAAAACACTGGAGCATGTGCTTACACTGCGGTGAAAGACCTGAAGCGGAGTGTTTCTCTAGTGCTGGTGTACCTGTTATTGCAGATCTGGATGTAGGAAACCTTCTCAGACTCAGGGTTTGCTTATAACACAGATCTCGCTGAGCTGAAGGCATCTGTAGGAGCAGCGTTTGTGCCCAATACCAGACTTCTGCATTACAGGTTTATTGTTGGACTCGACGATCTCAAGGGTCTTTTCCAACCTAAATGATTCTGTTCTATAGTGATGGGTTCTCATCTGTCTGCTCTTAATAGTGCATATGCTTTTGGGACTTAGAAAAGAGCGGATGTTTTTCCTTGTTCTGCTTTAGATGAAATGGGACATAGTGTCAGCATTTTGTCAGGAAGCTATTAGGTGTCCTGCAACCGCGCTATGCCAGTGGTCTATTGTATTCTCCTTTATTTTTATATGGTTACTTCGCTGATGCACAGAGAGCCTTGTCTTTTGGTACCCACAAGCCACGTGAATATGTCTTGTTTTACTGTGTCCCAAAGTTTTTGGTGTAGCTCAGAGCAGGGTTTCTGTGTCAGGCATGTGCCATACAGCTGTGCTTGGCGCTAGGGTGGCTCCTGTGATGGCTGACAGCTATTGCTAAAAGTGGGTAATTTCCTTCCTTTAGACAAAGCTTGAGAGGCTGTTTCAGCACATATGTTCCCCTTTGCCCTCTCAGAAGACTTAATTAAAATCCCTTTAAAAAGGAGTTCAATATGAGCTGCTTTATTCTTAATTCTCCTGATGCTGTCTGGGTACAGTTAAGCCCTATCTCCCCCAGGAAAATTACCCGTCGCTCAAAATTTTCACAGAAATTTCCCTAGTCTCAGCAGACGTTGTGGACGGGGTGGAGAAATGACCATGAATGCAATGCATGCAGTGAAAAATAACGTATAGAAACGTTCCCCTCCACATCTGCGGTGGGACTTTGTGTTGAGAAAACAAAAACTTCAGGCCTGTCTCTCTTCCCTTGCGGGTCTCTGCTTTTAATTTCTGCCCTTAGACATGGCTAACAAGTATTAATCCTCCCCTGTAAGCGATTTTCAGTCCAGTGAAACAGATTTCTTCCTGTACAGCCTTCCTGCATCTTGAAAGTTAAGCCCTGTGTGGGAGGCTTTATGCCCGCTCTGAAAAAGGCAAGGCCCGGCAGGACAGTGCCTGCGGCATTCCCTTGGTCCTGCCGGCAGCCATCTGCATTCCAGGCCGTCACCCAGGCATGGCTGCCCTGCATCCTCTGCATCCAGCTGCCCTGTTTTCCCTCCCCCTTGTCCGCTTCTCTGATTTTTTTTTTCTCTTTTTTTTTTTTTTTAAAATAGCTATTAATTCTGACCCCCAAAATCAAGCACGTTGCGATAACGCACGGCTGAGCAACCTGCTCTGAAAGAGCTGTGATACTTTCTCTGTGCTCCGTTTTTAACAAAATGCAGAATTGTTTTTTTCCAGTTCGGATGGTCCTTTCCCAAATTTGAATTTATTTCTGTACTTTACTCATATTGTTCTACCTCTGTATATTAGCATAAAGCTTCTGGCACATTGGTACACTCAGTTATATAGAGTTTATTTAATAAAATAAAACCCAAAACAACCAAAAAACCCCACCCACCAAAACAAACAGTTAGTATCACTATCTATTTCTTGATTTAGCTTGCCCTGATTGCCTCAATTATTTCTATTTTCACATGAGAGACAGCACGTAGCTGATGCTTTGCTACCTTCAGTGTTCAGGCTGGTTTAGTCTGGTAGCAGAAGCTAAATTTTGAAATGTGCATCTTTAAGCAAATGACACTTTCCGTATTTTCTCACTTGTATTGACTTCTCCTTATGATTTTCTATTTCAGTGGCACTTCAGTGTTACAAACTTACCATCACCAATTTGCAAATTTAAAAAAAAAAATAAAAGGCAGGAATGCAGTGTTCACAGTCAATCTGCCATGGTGTCTAGCCTTGCTGAGAGCAGAGTTGGAAGTGATTGAGTGTTTTACCAGTGTACCTTCCAAGCATTCAAATAGTTCTTTATACTATTAGTATAAATTAATTACACTAGTAGTAATACAATTACTGAAGCTAGATAAATATTAGGGTGAAATTAATGAGGTTTCATAATTAACACAGATAAATTCTAGCAATATTAAAAAAAAAGTTATTTTTGTTCACTCCCCATTTTCCTTCATATTCTAGTCCTGCAGAAAAAATACACTTACTTTGACATTGTGTGTGTATTTATATCTTCTATATATGTATGCACATCTATCTTATATGGAATTAGATTTTTATTTAGTTTAGACTTTAAGCCAGTGTTACAGTTTAAAGCTTTATGCCTGTCTTAAACTACAAAGATTGGGTTGTTTGTCATGTTAGCTTGTCTGAAATATGCTGTGAAACTAGTGTAAGGGGGTGGAACAACTCGTGAAGAAATTGTTTGATATAATGCTTATGCTGTCTTTTTGTGGGTGGAGTTTAGGATTTCCTGAAGAAATTTTCATCAGATCAATTCAGGATGTTTTGTTTGCGCAGCAGATACAGCTCAGGTAAGGAAAAAAAAACCCAACACCTTATTGTTGAGATATGCACGGCTTTCCACGCATGCTTCCCAAGCTGGCAATGCAGAGGTGCGGTGGTGGAGCGGGCTCTCCCTGCGGTGCCTTGCAGTTCCCCTCTGGTAGGTGGAAAGGTTGGCGGTGCTCTGCAGGGCTGCTCTTTGGCTCTCATTTAGAAAAGCATCTTTACCGAGGACAGTACTTAACCATTTGTCTAAATACCTTCCTGAGCTGCCGTTAATTGCAACTCTCAATTAATTGCACTTTCAATTAATGAATTACCTCCATCTCTGATTTGCATCTGTTGCAGTCACTTGTATTTCAGTCACGATCAGCTGGTTTTGGAGTCGTATCTAGCTTTACCTTATATTCCCATAGGGTATGACAAGGGCTTGCTAATAACTTTTTATCTCCCTGCTGTGTTATCATTTTTTGTCCCGTGGAGTTACTGAGTGTTCAAGCAGTTCTGTGGTGCAGTGCAGCTCGCTTACACCAGCGCTTGATAACCTAATGATCATCTTAGCCTGGCAAACACTGCTGGTGGGGAGAGGCGTGGGAGATTTTGTCAGCTTCCCTGTCTACACCATGGTGTTTCCAGCAGGCAGATGCTACTTTGAACTGGAAGAGGTTTTCATATGGATAGTGCTTTTACCAGTTTATTGGGGCCTGCCAAAAGCAGATGGTAGTTCCGTAACCACTGCTGGGTCATCTGGCTTGTTGGCCGTCCTGGCATGGTAAGGGGATGATGGAGCACAGGGAAACACCTCCTCTGTTACTTCGGTGGGCCTCTAGCTGCCTCAGATAAAGCACCTCTAGCAGTGTGACCGGGAGAGCTGGTGTGGTTAAGGCTCTGTGGCTTTGCTAGTGTCTGTCAACATGCAATGCGCCATAAGCCTTTACAGACGTGCAGTCATTAGGCTGAGAAGTCTTTTTGCTTGTTAATACCTTTAGCTGCTTGCAGGAGCCACCCGTCTGATCTTCCTGGTGGAGCCTCCCTCTCCTAACGCATCAGGAATGCCATGTATCCCTGAATTATTTTGAAACATGGAATAGTAAAGAGACTGCTGGTTATTAGCTGCCGACCTCCACTGTGGTAGGAAGGGAGGAGCGGATCCAGGTGGGAGGTTTGCTGCAGAACAAGCCCCTGTTTGGAGCAGGAGAGGGGACAGGCAGTGGGGAGCAGCGCCACCATGGGGGAAGGTGGCAGGATGGTGGCATGCCTGGCTGTTCTGGGGTGATGCCGCAGGACAGTGGCACACCTGGCTGCTTCCTCTGGGTCTCCATCAGGAGATGAAATATGTTGTGCACACATAAATGGCACCCCAGCTGCAACTGGGGGCACTTGGGAGTCTTGAACAAACGTGTATTTAAAACAAAAGAAGAAAAAAGGCTAACACATACAACACTATCATATATGTGTGTGTGTGTGTGTTTGTCCTGTAAACAAAAGCTGAATGGCTGGCAATTTCTAAGCTTGCCTTGGGGCAAGGAATGGCACTGGAGCCCTGCAGTGGAGGGCTGCCTGCACGCCTTCTCCGCTGCATGTCAGCTGGCTGCATTTGAACCTCTGCGAGACAGACATGACCCTTTTTTTGCCTTAATTCTAGGTTAAATACCTTCCTGTGATTAAAAACAGAGGGCTGCTGGTGCAAATATAGGTGGTTTTGATGAAAGGGTACAGTGGTGTTATGTCAGAGTATAGTGCCAGCAAGCCACTCAGCAGATAAGGAGTGCTCCAAGGTCTGCTGTACCTTATGAGGTAGGGTGCAGTTATTTGCTGTCTGATAAAGAGCCAGAGTCAGTCCCTGCTGAGCCAGGTATTTACTATGCAGCCTGTCAGCTTGTGTCCCTGCTATCAATTCACTTCAGTCTAAAGATGAGTTTACTGCACTCCTTCTCATCTTGCTGCCTGCTTCCTAAGTATTTTTATTAGAAGTGAGATCCCAGGCACCTTCTGTTTGTTCCTAAAAAGGTTTTTGTAGCCTAAACCTGTTTGCGATGATTCCTGCCATCCCTGCCTGTGAAGGAGAGCCTTTTGTACTTGCTAAATTCCAGGTTTGCGGGATCAGGTGATGTTACCATGCTCATTTAATCAAGGCTGTAAAAGATCTTCGTAGGCATGCAGATGAGGGCAGCACCTGACAGTTGGGAATAGCTCATGCTTGGTGCTGTGGTTTACATGGATCTTGGGCTCGGAATGGACCTTTTTTGTGGTCTGGGCTATGCTCTGCCTGCATGTGTGCCAACGGGCACTTGGGGACAAACACAGCTCCAAACTGCCCCAACCACAGAGGGGTTGAGGGCTGGAGGGGTGTGTGCAGGGAGGTGGGAGTGGGGGCCCCCTCCCGTGGCGGTCATTGTCACAGGGAGGATAAAACTGGATGCCTTGCCCGTGGGGAACAGGAGAAAAGTCAGAGGGAAGAGGCTTTGATGCAGGACATCACCCTCCCACAGCGTGTCTCTGCAGGGCGTCCCTCTGCTCCATCGCCCTCTCTGCCTGCTCAGGCTGGTGGGGTGGAGCTGCTCGGGGTTAAGCTGAGCTCTGGGGGCAGCGGTGGTGATCCGGGCCTTCTGCTTTGGCTGATGCCTCTGGCTGTCCCCTTCTTGGCCTGAATCACCATCCTTCGTCCCACCTGGAGCTGTTGGGAAAAGGTCTTTCCTAGGTGCCACAGGCAGCAGCATGGTGCCCCACCGCCAGCATGCCTGCCAGGCTGCTTCTGGGTGCAGCTTAAAAGCAGAGGTGCCATCTCCGAAGCCCCGTGGGATGCCGTTGTGAGGCACTGCTTTTTCTCTTGCAGTGGCTTTGCTTTTGCAGTTAGGTGGAGGGGCTGTGAGTCTGCTGCAGGCAGCGGGGTTCTGTCCCCAAAATGCTCTCCTGGTCACCAGAACCACTCTGGTGATTTTGTGAACCTGAGTGAGCTCTAACATTTTGGTCCCTCTGGTCTTTAATTACTTGTTGGTGCTAATAGACATACATTTTGTAATCTGATGATGTAGCAATGATGCCCTCAGTGGCAAAGGAGGGAAAGAGTAGGGAGTACAGTGGAGATTTATAGAGCCGGGCTTGCCTGTGTCGCGCTGTGGGTTTGCAGTGCCTGCGGGCAGTGGTTTAGGAGAGTGCTGTGAATCGGGGAAGAAGAATGGCTTTAATCAAAGTGGGCTTCATCAGGGTAAACTTTCATCAAGTATTCCTCGTGGAGTTCTGTAACCAGGGTAATCAGTTGAGTAATCTTAGTGGATATAAATGATCTCTTTCAATATCTCACTGTTTTCTAAAAGTCTGTACATCAGTCTTTTTAAAAGCTGAGTAAAGCTTAATTTTAAAACCAGTGTTAATGAGGCAGTAATGCAGATTTTTAATTACACACAAGTGGAAAATCTGACAAATACAGGTCCAGACTTACGCCTTAGTTATACTGGGGTAAATCCTATGGAAAGTCTGTTTAAACAGTTAGGCTTCTTTGGGATTTAGGCTAATGGAACCGAGATCAGGTCTCACATCTGGCTGCTTCTGCTCTCTTAGATCTGTCTCCTTGCTCAGACTGTCTGCTCTAAAGAGTCTGTGCCTGGGCAGCATTCAGTAATTGCACAAAGCAGTCGTCTGTAATGTGTGCAGGACCAGAGGTGAGATTGCTGTGGAAACTACAGGTGATGCTCAGTGCTGATGAGATGAAGAATATGCTGCAAGCTGTAGTTTGGATGTACCTCAGTGCAGAGGTCAGGCATAAAATGGTGAAGCAGTATTGCACTGGCTATGAATGGCTCTTTGATACAAGTAATCAACTCTGGTGTGATATTGTGGGAAGGAATGCCTTTAAACTTAGGCCTGTCCTTGGCGGACACAACTTCCACCAAAGTCGGGTGAGCTGTCTTGCGTGGGGTCCGAGTGCCCTTCTACAGAAAATTGCACGTTACTGTTCAAATAGAAAAATTGCCTCTTGTTGATGGCAGCTTGCAGTAAAAGTGCCAGAGGGCAGGTCCAGCACCTGCGCTTCTGAGAGCGTAGGCAAGGCGAGAGGAGCCTGCTTAACCCTAAGCCAGCAGAGGCGAACGCTGGTAGTTCGTGAAGTGCGGTTGCCTGCCGAAGCTAGAGTCCCGCTGAATGCAGTGAGGCTGTCTGTGTGCCTGGATGCCATGTTAGTGGGGGGGGCTAATGTCATCTTTCCAAGCTGGTGGAAGAAGAGCACTGTAGGGTTAGGGTACAGCAGATCTCATCATAAACTAGAGCTCCGCTTAGGATGTGATGAATCATTTACCTTAAGGTTTTATCTTTCTTTCCAGTGACTATAAAGAGGCTTAGAGGTAGGTAAGTGTGTAAGTTGAATGTGATGAATCCCATCCCAGACATGCCCCTACGAGTTTAAGCAATTTGTATTTTTCTCTAATAGTCACCTTCGAAAATTGATATGGCCAGTTTAGCTTTGCTATTGTGAGGGAATTGCATATCTAGTGCAAAATCTAGACTGCAAAATTTTAGGTCCATCTAGATTTTAGATGCTGGTGAAGCAGCCCTTTAACTATAAGTGTCTGTATTCCTCACACAGTCAGTGATGAGGATTAGGTCTCTTTGGAGGTCTACAAAGACAGATCGTGTCTACCTAAATTAGAATAGGAACAAAGTTAGGGGTGAGATCAAAGGTATGTCTTGCCAAATTAAATCTGGGGGGACGCTTAGAAATATATCCAATCCAAATGCTTTGGAATAATAACTTCACAGAGAGATTCAATAATTAAAAAAAAATTTAAAATCAAGTAGCTATTTCTTCAGTCAGCTTCCAGACACTTTTTGAATCAGTCTGATACCTTTCCAGTAGGTTATACTTTTTCATGTGTAATGATTATCTTTTATATTGATTTAATTCACCTAGTGCTCATGAAGGATGGAGTTTTTAATTAAATATGCAATTAATTGTAAGAAAAGTTTGCTGTGACAAATAATAACAAAGCTTTCCTGGAATGACTTTGTCTCAGAATATTGTTCCTATGTATGACAGACAGCATCCTCTGTATCATAATGCCCAAATAATTTTTTTTTTCTTAGCAATAGAATTTAGCGATGAGAGCATGGATGATGCAAAGCACCTTCTTCAGGCAATCTCCTCATTTGTTAGAGATGCAAATGCTTATATGAAAGGACAGCTGGTATGTGACCCTGTTAGAGAAGACATACTGTGGGAAAGGTAAGTGTACCTCCTGTATCTTAACGATTGTGATTATGCGAGCAATAATTTGCTGACAGGCTCAGAGGACTAAACACTGTAGTGTGCTGAGTTCTGTTTAAGAAGCAGGACAAGAAGGAGGACTGAGAAGTGGTCTTCCCTGCCTGCCCTCACCAAGGGCAGCTTTTGTTTGTTCTTCTTTTTCTAGCCAGATGCTTTTCCTCATAGTCTGCTACACTTAGTTCATTGTATTTTTAAAATCCGTGTTATTTATCCAGTGTGCCTGTCCCAACGCTTGCATCTTTGCCCCTCTTGAGTGATACAGAAGGTAAAGCTATGACTGAAGTTGTGAGGCTACCCAGTTCGTAAGTAGAACTGAAGAAGAGAGGACAACTGGAAAGTAATACACCTTGGGCACGCGAGCTTGTAGTCAAGCTGGTTTTTAAAATCCGTGTTATTTATCCAGTGTGCCTGTCCCAACGCTTGCATCTTTGCCCCTCTTGAGTGATACAGAAGGTAAAGCTATGACTGAAGTTGTGAGGCTACCCAGTTCGTAAGTAGAACTGAAGAAGAAAGAGGATGACTGGAAAATAGCACACCTTGGGCATGTGAGCTTGTAATCAAGCTGGCTGGTGCTGTGGTGTGCAGCAGAGGAGAGAAGGGGTTACTGCGAAACTGGCCAGGGGCAGAGATGTCAGAGGCAAAGAAGAAATTACGGCTGTTGTGACACTGACGAGGAGAATCTTCTTTGGAGTCCCTTAGGAAAACCAGATCATCTTCCAGGAGAGAGCTGTGCTGTCTGTTGGGTGCAAAGCTGAGAAGACAAGCGCAGCGCTCTGGAGTCGGGGTAGGAGGGGCATTAAGCACTCTGAAGCGACGTACGTGCAGGCAGCTCTGGGATGTAAGATCAGAGGGGAAACGGCCTGTGCTGTAGAAGTGAGAGGCGTCTTCCTTGCGGTGCGGGCACCTCACTGTCTGGGAGCTTGTGGCTGCACCAACTAAGGCTTGCAAGGGGCACTGGAACGTGTTACAGGGAAGGGGAGCTGAATTAACTAGTTGTGATGTTTGGCAAAAGGGAGTCCTTCAGCAGGAGGCTGCAGACGACCTGTTGGTGAGAGATGAGGCTGAGACGTGAGGCATGTGGGCAAGTTGAAATGGATTGTCAGTGGGGGACATCTGGGAGGGCACAACTTGTGTATCGCTAGATGTAAAAACAACCAAAACAAAACAGAGCTCTTAATTAGGTAGGTATTCAGCAGAGAGGGGGAAGCTTGCAGGGAAGAGCAGTTGGGAGGAATGGGTTAGGGCAGCAGCCATCTGACATCTGAGGGGAGGCAGGCATTCCAGGCAAAAACACTGAGAAACAGGCACAACTGGGTTGAGGAGAGCCCCAGAGGCACTAGGGTAGCTTGAGGTTCCCCAGGTAACCCTGCTCCCTGAGCTTTATTGTGAAATGGCATCCTCGGGTCAGCACTGTCAAGGTCCCGTTCGCCTGGCTGCATGCAGGGGCGTGCCGCCAGCAGCTGTTTGCAGCTCGCCATTTATCCCCCCTGCTGTCCTCATCCTCCCGCTCAAAGCGGCTGCAGCGGGTGGCACTCGTCCTGCGGTGATGAGTGCTGGCTGCCCGCTGGCTTTTGGCGCTGTTACATGAACGGTCCCACCAGACCTTTCCGTCTCGGCCAAACCAAGTGGGGTCCCAGGGCTGGGATTGGGCTCGCCTGGGAAATGAGGAAGCAGCGCCTGCTTCCGAGCCGGATCCTGCCAACGGGACACCTGAATGACCCTGAGTCAGCTCTCTTGCCAGGCACTGGAGTGATGAGCGTGACGTGGCTTTGGAAGAGAAACATACCGTTAGCATGAAAAACGGGCTGCTGGAAAAAAAAGAACTTAGCAAAATCTTTAATGTGCTTAATATCAACCTCATTTTCCATCTGTTTTTAAATGATTAAGGCAAGTCTTGCTCTGTCATTGTTGGTCCCTGTGATTAATGATGTATTTATTGAATGGATATAGCACTCTGGATTTTGACAGGCATCAAGTTTTTCCCTTTGCGGCTGAAAGATGTATTCTCCCTGATCAGTGTAGCATCGCCCATCACAGGACAGCAAGGAAGGAAATGACAGTGTCCTTTTGATGACTCCCTCTGGCTGAATAGTTGATGAATTCAGCATACTGCTGGCATCTTGTTTGTCTTATCTTAAATGTTACCTTTTCTTCTTGAAGGCTAGCCAACACAAAAGTAACCGTGAAGGCTGCGTTTGCAGATGACTTTGACACCTCCAGGGCTGTTGCAGCAATTATGGACCTCATTCACCATGGCAACAGACAGCTTAAGGCTGTTACTAAGGTAACCCATTAGGATACAGAGATCAGAAAATGACAGCTGTCCACTGTCCTACTGTTTAATGCAGACAGATTAGTTTATTGTTCACATAAGAAACCAGCAGAAACAAAGCTCTGTAAATTGTTGACCTTAATGGTGCCCATTTGTCCTGACCGTATCGCAGGAATTGTGTACAGCTATTGTTTTGTGCTTCGCTGTGTCCAAAGGATGTCTCTTTCCTGCTGCCCTATATTATTTATACCTAAGGTTTTTGAAAGGCGTGAAGCCATTGTGGCATGCTGCTAATTTTAGTGCTGGTTTTATGTTCCCGTCCTGCTTCTTTGCTTAATAACCATGCACAGAAATGAACCTAAATTGGGAAATGGAGGGTGGTGGTTGCTGTGGGGGCTTTGGCAGGCAGTCCCAGGTGCACAGGGCAGTCACAGTGGTGAGTTCAGCTTTGGGGACCGATTGGCTTCTGCTGTCGGCAGATTATAACTGTGGCCTCAGCATGTCTGCATGAGTCTGTCTTCAGATGGCTTTTGGCAAATTGAGACCCTGTTAAGATCTCTCGATGCTGACACAAAGGAAGCGTCTGGTAAGGACCAGACCTGAGCGATACATACAGTCTGAAGCACTTCTGGCTCTCCTTGTACCAACAGCTCCCTTTCTGGCTCAAGGTGAGCAGCTCAGCTCTGTTGCTGTGCTCCTTGATTGCTGGTGTCATCGTGTCCACCATTTTTTGTGCTGTGAAAGGGATGTTGAGTATATAGTAATACCTGAAATGGCTCATTGGTTTAGAAATCCTCCCTCCTCCTGGTCTTTTTTTGGTGCTAGTTTTAAATTCTGTCCTTAGCCTTATCTTTCCCTTTTCTTTACAAAATGACTCTCTGAGCGAATCCCCAACTTGAGCCAGTTTGCAGCAGGGATCTGTAACAGCATTACCACTCCTTAAATACAAGCAGCCTCATTTTGCCAGTTGTTGCTTGTTTTCCCTGAATTCCTTCTGTCACTCGCTTTGCTAAGAATTGGGTGGGATATTTGCGGGGCAGCTGACCCGGATTTCTCGTTGCGGTGGTGGAGCTTTTCTGGGTGCAGCCCAGTTGTGTGAGCGTTACCTCCTACTGACTGTACGGGTACTTTTTCTCCATAAGAGCTGTGAGCAAATTCACATACACATAACTACTCATTCCTCTCTTTAATCTTCTCTCCATTCTTACCTTAGTTGGCACATTCCTGTTTCTTTCCCTCAGTGGTCCGCTTCAGCTCCTTCCAGCTCAGGTCCTTTGCAAATTTTAGGTTATGGCTTTTCTCGGGCCCTAATGGAGATGTCGGATAAAATCCAGTACCAGCTGCTAATTCAGTTGTGTATGTCATCGCTCTTTTTTTAGGCAAGGATTAGTCCCTTAAATTGCTTCTTAGTCTATCATTTAATCTTGATTTTGTTTGTTTGTTTTTGTGAAATAAATATGGAGGAAAGAAAGAAATACATATGTTCTTAAAAATGCTATTCTATCACTGCTGCTGGTGGTTGCTGGTGCTACTGGGGCATGCCAAAATGCCATAAGCTATCTCAAAGCAGTCTTCACGTTGTTTAAATCAATAAGATACTCAGAAAAGGGGTTTTTTTTTTTTTTTTAATCATTTATTTTGTAGGTGCCCTTGAAGCTGGGATTTTGTTCTTTTATTTTGTTTTCATATACACAGCCCTTTCATGCCCAGAAGTGCTATTTTTAGGTCTAATTTACTGCGTGCATGTAATGCATGGCAGCTTCACGCATCTCTTCTCGCTGCGCATGCTGGTAATAAGCTCTTCCCTTCCCCTGTTTACTGAAATCTTTTCCCTCTGTGTTGCGAGGTGCTTTTATATCTCTGTAAAAGTTCCCGTCTGGGCAGGTGTTACTGGTGGAGGTAGATCTATATAATCAGTAACAGTTCTCCCTTGTGGACCTAGGCTACAGAGAGATGCTGAGTTCTGTAATATGTATTGACTGGACAATCTCTTTTGAGTGTTTTTTAAACAGGATGCTGGATCTCCTAGAAGCTCTGTTGTGTATGGAAGCATTATTTCCTATATAGAAGGCTTTTTTAATGCCCTTGGGATGTCCTTTGGAAAAAGACAGGTACAAAACATCTCTTCTATGTGTACTAATATATGGTAGCAGTGCCAGCATTATGTTTTATAGAACACTTTCCAGAAGCGCCAGATGTAACAAAGTTATTTATGGTTTTAGTAAACCTTTCTGCACTGCTTGCAGTTTCTACCGTGATGTCTTAGGAGAGCGTGTGAGCAGGTAGAACAGGAGAAAGCCAAGCGTGGGCTTTTTTCTTCTCTGAGATACTCCCGTGTCACTTCTGCAGCAATTGTGCTGTGGAAATGAAAATTTGAGGAATGAAACGAGAAAAAGTTAGCACTGGAGGCCTTTTAAGTTGGTCCTGTTATGTGTCTGGCTTTTTCCCGGCTCTTCCTCTTCTTTCTGGTGGTTGCACCCAGGCTGACTTCGATAGCCTTATGAATATTTGCGGTTGTGACCTCCCTGCACAGCAGGAACCGGGGTCCAGCTCCTCTGCAGAAAGCCAGGGTGCGGGGAAAGGGGCCGCTCTGCCTTAGACACGGTAAAATACCTTACATATCCTCTAGTGCTTGGAAAGGTAGGAATGGGGAGGGGAAAAAAAGCAGAGAGAAGCCCAAAGCAAAGTACTGCACAGGGAAGAGAGTGATAAATACGAAGGCGATATCCTGATGTATGGAAGGGGAGCATTTAAAATGACACAAGGTGTTGGAGATTAGCAGGCTGTTCTGTGCTCCTCTCCTGCTCAAATCTGGAGCTGAAAACCAAAAAGTTGAAAACTTTATTTAGAGAAACTGTTCTGCAAAAATTTCTTTTGGGGGAGGGGGAGAAGAGGATAAGAAAATGTAAATAACCTTACTAATGCTTTGAAAGTCAGGCAGTATACCAATAAATTCATATATTTACTTTGCCTCCTTGTGGATTTTTCCACAAAATTTCTTTCAAAACAGCGGTTGGATGTGATTTGGCTCTGTGTTACTCCTGATAACCCATGGTTTGTCATGTTAATTTTTAGTGGCATACTAAACGCTTACATTTGTCTGTAAGTTGGATGTCAAAGTCATTCCTCCAGGTTCTGGGCTGTCTGTATGCAGGTGCCTGCTGCATCTTTGTTTTTGCTGAAACAAGTGTCTGAATGCTTTTTCTTTTTTGCATGCTGTGCTAGTTTCTCTGGGGCAGCAGGGTCAGCAGAAGACGCTGGCGCGAGGTAGGCAGGAAGAAAGGAAGGAGCAGCGCGTCAGACTGTCCCTCTGCTCTTTCCTTTCAGCTTCCAGTAAATGAATCAATCAAAATCTTCATCAGAAAAGTCTGTGGGCTGCCGCAAGGTAGTAAATAGAACGGTGCAGGAATTGTTGTCTGACCTCAAGACCAGCTAGAACAGCTCAGTGTCCAACCTTTCTTGCCCCTTAGCCAGGTGGCCCCACGCATGCAGCTTGCCAGGAGCCATCCCTGACCACCACAGGTCCCGGCACGTGGGCTGTCTGGGAGAGGGCTAGCTGGCCTGGCCGCCGCTGTGCTAACAATTTTATGTAGAGGCTACGGGGGGCAGTGTTCAGGCCCTTTTCGTTTGGATATTTGCATATAGGTCTGTCTTGCTCTTAGGATGGGATTAATCTCAGCTAATTAGCCCTACAGAAATGAGAGATCAGCCCCGAGAGGCTACAGCGTTTTACATGGAAATCGGATCAGTTCACCTCCTAAAGCTGCCCCTCCTTTTAGAGGATCTTGCCTTTGTGTCATGAGTACATGCCTGGTTTGAACTTCGGAAGTGGTGTGTGTAGATGTATTTCTTGCTCCCCTTATCATTCGTCTTTCCTCTCCCTTCTGCATTTAAGCATTTATCCTGCTCTTTTTCCCTGCCCCAGGTTACGATGGAGCATTTCTGGCACTTAGATTTATTACCTTCTTCATCTCATAAACTTCTTCAGTATGTTTACATGTTTTGAAAGTTTGGTGAATTTGCTGCCCTTTATGATTGTGGAAAGCATCCCGCATCTCACGCTCTAGCCCTTCGATAGCTTCCCCTTCACCTCCTTCTCCTCCTCTTTGTTTATTTGCTTCAGTCAGTGACCTCTGAAACTACTCCCTTTCATTTCCATCCTGCTGTTTGGTGACTAAATACAGTCCCCTCTGGCTTTAATTACTCAGCTGCTCTTCTGCTCCCAGTCGAGCATCGCTGCCAGCGACTTTGCCCCCCGGCCTTGGTGTGCTTTGTATCTCACTGCTCCGTTGTCTGCTCCCCCTCTTGTGTCTTAGTGATAAAATACTGCGACGGCGTTTTCTTGCTAGTTGGAGGTTTGTCTTTTTCCTCCCCCTTAGGAGTTTGCCTCTAATGAGAAACAGGGATGGTTTCTCTGCCGAGAGCGAGACTGGGAGCCTGGCTGTGCCAGCGCCGATGAGTGGCCTTCCTCTTCTGCTAGCACCTGAGCTCCTGTCCCGGCAGGAGCCCTGTCGGAGCGGGACCCTCTAGGAGGAGTGAGGCCGTTCCCTTCCCGTGGTGTTGAGCAGCGAGACTTCTGCCAAGCCAGAGGAGGCCAAGGAAGCTCGGAGCTGGCTGAGGGGAGGAGGGGGCCAGGCAGCAGCCGGAAAACACACGCTGTGCGCAGTGGCTGCTGCTCAGTCAGGTCTTGTTGGGTGGCTGAAACTGGATAAGGCGGATCAGATAAAAGTTCTGCGGATTTGGGGAGGTGCAAGGAGAAAGGGTAGTCTAGAGACTTAAAGCCAAAATACCTAATTTTTCCGGTTTGTGATTCTTGAAGAGGGTCTGGAGCTCAAAGGCAGAGTAAGGGGCTGGTGCGCTCTCCAGCTCTGCAGACGTTTACAGCCGGGGGCTGTCTTGAGCTGGGGGGTTGGGTTTCCTTTGTGTTTTTGGG